GGGGGGGGGGTAAGGGGGGTAAGGGGTCAGGGATATGGGGTATAATGGGTAAGGGGTCAGAGGTAAGGGTAGCAATTGTACCAGGTCAGGATAGTAAAACAGTTATGTGTACAATCGGGCTTCCTGCGCTGTTGCTTTGTTACATACATCCGAAAATAATAATGGGTGTCTACAAATCATAGCCGATGAAGTCTTTACATTTTTACAAAATTTACAACGGATTTGGTTTCATAATGTAATCTACTATACGACTTTTGTTGCGCCAGTAAACCCTAGTTCGGTGTGACGAGCACGTCTAAAGCGATCCGTCCACTTATATCCTGCACGTCGTAGTAAAATTAGAAGTTGAAAGGCGGAAGAAATCCTCTTGCCAATAGTGACGCGTATGTTAGCATAAACACACCGCATTCGCTTATGCCTCGCTGCTTAGGAATGCCTGACACATTCCATATGTGGTTGAAATCTTTTGTATCTACCACCTTGCCTTGTTCAATTGATCTTTCGAACAAGAATCTTGCGAAACCACCTGTCACTTTCAAGGCGAATTCTTTGTCAGGTGCTAGCGAGTCGTAGTACTCCATTTTCGAGCGTCTTAAGTCTGCTATTACTAGTGTCCAATGGTTGGACATCCGAACGTGGAATGGAGCTATGATTAAGTCTACGTCGCCCACATCGATATCTGTCATCCACTTTCGCACTGCGTTGTAATTGTATTGCATATCGTCATCGAACAATTTCGCGAAGAAGAAGGAACTAAATATTGCTGTTATTGGGATGCGCCCTTTTCCTTCTACTACAGTTCTGCCTGCTCCACTATCACACTCGCGATGACTTATGCGACACATGTTGTCAAGCCTAACGAGGTTCAAGTAAAAGTTCACTATTTCGTTGTTCAACCATTTGCCTTGATGCAATATCAAGCTCAAATCATTCCCGGTTAGAACTAGTTCTTCTTTTGTTGCCCCGTTGTACGTGGATGTCCAGACCGATCGATCCTCCGCTTGCACTGAATCTCGCAAACGTTGTACCGCGGTCTCCTCCTTCTCCGACAACTTATCCGTCGCTAAGTGGATCGTCCATCCCTCTTTGCATCTTTGTACTTCTTCTATGCTCCTCCTTTCTGCGCATGACAATGCATCATGCGCCAGTGTAAGCTACCATAATTGGGCCGTACCATAAATTCTTTCCCAAAACGGCCTTTACATTTCAATTTGCTGAATCCCGACAACATAATAGTATATCGAGTTTACTTAAATACCCTGACCTTCACTCTTCCGCGTATTATGCCGTATAACACAGCTATAATTCGTGTGGAATTAGTATCTTTTTTTTTTTTTTTTTTTTTTTTTTTTTTTTTTTTTTTTTTTTTTTTTTTTTTT